ATTTAATTATACACTTTTCACAGCTTGAAATGTTTCATGAAGAGTATATTTTTTTAAAATCTGGTCAGAAATTGCCACGCAAAAGTAGGTTGTTGCCCTTGTCTCCCTTTATAGACGATAATAACCTCATCCGCGTGGGCGGAAGGCTTGATAATTCTCCCTATGATTTTAATATTAAGCACCCAATAGTATTATGCAGTAAACATGTTCTAACTAAGCTTATATTCCACATGCAACATTTAGAGCTTGCACATGCTGGTCCACAATTATTACTGTCGCACATTCGACAGACTTATTGGCCGTTAGGTGGCAGAAACTTGTCTAGACTTGTGGTAAATCAATGTCTCAGGTGTTGCAGACACAAGGCTCAAAGCATACAGCCAATTATGGGTCACTTACCCCATTCTAGAACTCAGCTTGAGTTTCCATTTTTGTATAGTTACGTTGATTACGCGGGACCAGTATTGGTGGCCAATCGTAAAGGCCGTGGTTGCAAACTAACAAAATCTTATATGTGCATCTTTGTTTGCTCAGCAGTGAAAGCCGTTCATTTGGAGCTCGTCAGCGACCTCACCACCGAGGCTTACATGGCCGCTTTAAATCGGTTCGTGGCGCGTCGAGGCAAGCCTCGAAGTATCACGTCCGATAACGGGACAAACTTTGTAGGTGCATCGAACGAGATGCGTAGGTTCTTGGAATCGTCTGATGTTGCAACTGAAATAGCGCAGCTGGGCATTGAATTCGTTTTCACGCCTGCATACAGCCCACACTTTAATTCACTGGCTGAAGCTGCTGTAAAATCGTGTAAGCACCACTTAAAAAGATTGCTGCATATTACTCATTTAACCTTTGAGGAAATGACTACTTGTCTAACACATATAGAGGCGGTGTTAAACTCACGTCCTCTCACTCCTCTTTCTTCGGACCCTAACGATTTTTCGGCACTTACTCCTTCCCACTTCCTAATTGGACGACCACTCTTATCGGTGCCTTCTCCTCAGGTGACTGAAACCAACATCACGCGGCTGGATCGATGGAAGAGGATCCAGTTCATTAGACAGCATTTTTGGAACAGGTTTCATATAGAGTACATTTCTCTGCTGCAGGCGAAATCCAAGTGGTTCCATTCAAGAGGTGAAGTGAAACCAGGGTCCTTAGTCCTGATCAAGGACAAAACTGCACCACCTCTGCTCTGGTCCCTGGGTCGGGTCACCATGACCTATCCCGGCGTCGACGGGGTCACGAGAGTAGCAGAAATCAAGACGAAGAAGGGCACCATTCGTCGTGGTTTCAACAGCATCTGCCCACTTCCAATCCAAGATTGAAGAAAGCTCTTCAACCCGGGGAATATGTCGGCGCATTAGTATGGCCATCGACCATAGAGGCGGCGACGCGCGGGGCGGGGGTATAAAAACCCACGGCCGCGCGAGCGCCGCGCTTCTTCTTCATCGACACACGCCAGCCATAGCATTCGGGCATTTCTTTGTATCGGTGTGAGCCGGTCTTGATTCTGATATGTAGAAATTAAACCTATTAATTGTGCAGTCCTCTGTTTTAATTTGAAATAACCCGACAGAGCTACGACAATTCCTTATTAGAAGCGTGTGTGCATTTGTGATGAGATATGAAGCATGAACGCATAAATATCATTTATCTATTGTCTTGTCTGTGAATGTCAAATTGTCTAAGGCTGTTTTTCTTTTTAAATTATCTGTGGTCTGGTAATATACGCTTCGCCATTGTTAAATTACGTTCCGTCTTTTATTTAATGTTTCTATTAGATCAATTCAATAAATCATCCATCTTACAAGTTTTCATCAGGTTATGGGCCCAGGACGCTCGATTAGAATCGAATAGGGAAAGTTTTTAGAGTATTTACGCGAGAAGTAATCTGCGGCTACCGGTACCGGTAACATCAATCCGTCTCAGTCGCGTCAACAAAATTGAACAACCATCTCACTTAGAAAGATATTCCACCCATTACCTGTGTCTAACATACGTTGTTTCCATCATTGTTCTTGTTTATCTCTTGTATAGGATTAGAAAACTGATGTGCATGAGTAAGCCTCAATATTGTATCCAATTTTTTAATCAGTGTAATACAAAAGGACAACAAACAGTACAATCTGTCCAGCCTGTAAAACCAACAAATGATTGTTCTAGTGAATCTTCAGATGAAGATATTCAAGGATCAAGTTAGTCCTTGTCTACTCCCATAAGGCGTAATATTATAATGTATATTTTTATTAATGACCTAATCTTAATTAATAATTATAATTATTAAGAATTGTCTCTTCTATTTCTTATAGTTGTTAAGTTCATTTTGTAACCAAAACGAAGTCCATCGTAGCATTTCTTTAGATTTCTCATCAATCTTATCGGGGGGGTTGTTATAAGTCATCATAGCCTCGACATATGAAATAAAATCGCTGACACCGCATCCCCGTTGCTTACGTTGGTGCGTCACGTTTACCTACCATTACACGTTTTGTTTCATTTATTAGAATGACATACTTACTTTGGACCTCGTAGCGGACACACCAAGGGCTTTGTAATTTTACTATTTTCTTATTATATTTCTGGACAGTCTAAAAAGTATTATTTTTAAGTTGGTAAGACTTTACCCGATAACAGTGCGTTTACAAACATACAAGTTCACATACACCATTACACCCAGACCCGAAACAACAATTGTTTGGCACTAAAATCGGATGTGCATTCACTCCATATTATGCCAGGATCGCGCCTCTTTCTCTCTGTCTCTCTCTTGTATGTAATTTTTCTGCAATTACCTGTTATCACGAAATGTTATATTACGTAATCATAAATAACGGTTTTCGACCTAGGAGGCATATATAATAAAAGAATTATATTCTTTCAGATATACAAATGAAGCAAATTATTGCACGGATAATAGTACTCATAACGTTATAGCTCAAGACTCTGTTCAGATAATCAGCACAGATATTTTGCAGTTAAGCCAAATTTTAAAAAACTAAAAAAAGTTATCCGACTTTCTAGACAAGATACTTCAACTTCAAGCAATCGCTCTGGAAACCCAGCAGAAAATCGTCCAAAAATTGGCCACAAATTGTTCAACGTATTCTCAAATGGGTTGAAGACCAATTTCAATGTAGGATATTATGTCCATAAAAATACAAATGTATGATTCAGACATATGATGTTAAAAATGAAGAACTCTCAAACTTTGAAAATCACTTGGGGGAATAAAAATTGTCTTAATATAAAAGAATTCAATGGCATTAGAAACTTAATGCCAAAGATTAAACTATAATATGTACAAGTTTAGATATGCAAAAGGTATTAAATACACCACATGGAAAAATATGGCCATATTGTGGCCTATGTACGCCTGCAACACTTGGGGCATTACATGCGTCTTGCCGACCCTTAAGAGACCTATTCACTCCCCTCTTGAAGAACCCCATGTTATAGCCCACTGGGAAAACCACAGCAGGGAGTTCATTCCGCAATCGGAGGGCCCGTGAGAGAAAATTCCTCTAAAACCGACCTGTACAGGACCATTTGGGCTCCAATGTGTGAGCGTGAACTCCCTGTCGATGGCGAGCGGTGCGATGATTAAAAGTCAAAAGGTCTAAGCTGATATGCTGGCGCTCCAGTCCAGAGATGAGAGCAGTGTTCCATATGGGGGCGAACTCGGTATAGTAATACCTATAGTAATAGGAAAATAGCGGTATATAATTTGACAATTTATGAAGGAAATATACAGGCTACTGCAATTTATGGACCGAGGTTGACGCTCATCGCTGAACCAATGAACTTATATTCAGATTCATGTTATGGTTAGAACAAAAATAAAATGATGTTGAGTAGGTATGTTAAGATATTTTCTATCAAAATCTTACAACATACACGTAATTCCAATGAATTATGTACTTGATACCTGGACACACATTTATGCCTGTGGATAGTATGCACGCCACTATTGAACGTGCTGTAATAATGAAAAAAAAAAAAACTACCATATGGGCACCCGTCTCATTGGCCGATAGCCATCGAGATGGTGCGTAAAAATCCTGCTCCCTATATAGTGTCTGTTTTGGAAGGTAAAGACTTTATGGGGTTTGAAAACATTTTGAATAGCACCTTTAAGAAGAATTAAACACTAAATTTCCATTGTGCGAATATGCGACGCTACATTCAAAAAGCTAAACCTTGACAAAATGATTACTAAATACAAAATAAATACGAATACGCCGGCCCGACCGGAGCAATACCACGGCCTCACAGAAGACCGGTGTGAAGCAACGCTTGCGCTGTTTTACCGAGTGAGTAAGGGTACCGGACGCTCAATCCCCCCCCCTCACGACTTTGCCCTAGCTTCTGGCCTGACACAACTGGTGACTACGCCCACGCGAATCCCAGATGTGGAGGGTCAGCGGGCCGATGCGGTAGTACTAGCGCTTGCCTAAACAATGGAGGGCAATTTGTGTAGGCCGTCATTTCCACCACTGCACATGGGTAAGAAATCATTGGCTCATGACGCAAGGGATAAAGCTCAATTTTTGGGGAAAACTTTTGCGTCCAACTCGACATGCTGCAAATCAGCGGCATTCATTGTTATACGGATGACAGCACAGGCGATGCCTACTACACCGGAGGCGCTAACATTTCTCGGGAAAATGTCATAGAGCCCAAACAGACCCGTGTTTGAAATCGAGACCTCATATGGGAGAATCTATGATTGGAGTGCACTAAATAATTTGGTCCCGTTTAACCCCGCTAAGACACAGGTCTGCGTGATTACCGCTAAGAAACTACCGTTGGTCGTCTCTCCTCAGTTTCAAAGCACCCCCCCAACTGTCTCAGTCGGTATTGAAATACTTGGTATCAGCATTTCGAGCGACGTCCAGTTTCGCGGTCATCTAGAGGGTAAGGCCAAATTAGCCTCGAGGAAGCTTGATGTGCTTAATAGATCGAAGCAGTGTTTCACTCCGGCCCACCGCCTGCTTCTAATAAGGCGTAAGTTCGGCCCCACATGGAATACTGTTCTAGCTTATTCCTCTGGACCGCGTTCAGCGGCGTGCCGTTCGGATTTTTCGATGTCGGGATGTTTCAAACTGGCTAGCTAGACACTTTGGCAATGCGTAGAGATGGAGCTTCGTTGTGCATTTTCTATCGCTTATACCACGGGGAGTGCTCTGAATTGCAAACAATTGAACACAGGTCAAAACCTGTGTTCAATCGTCAACCGTAATTTAAATTAGTTCTAGAACATTAAGTTCCAATTTTGAAACTAGATGGCTTGTTAGTTTTAATCCAGTTTCTGAATCGTAGTGTCAAGATTCTCCACCGATTAATGACCCTCGGTAAATGTTTTATGCTTAGTCAGTTCAAAAGTTCAATAGTTCATTAGATCATAGGAAGATTATAAATGTTAATAACAATATACGGTGTGATATATAAAACACTGGTTTGTGTAGTATCCCTGAAGATATCCCTGTTCAGCCAGATTGGCCGACACAGTAATGGATCGCCGCTGATAGCGCCAAGGTGCTGGTGAGTTGTGGGACCGGGTTCAATACCCAGTACGGGCTCAACGGAGCGGGAGTTGCGGCGAAGTTCGAGTTGGAGTGGCGAGTCGGGTACGAGAGGTGGAGCCGGGAAAGTTCGAGTCAAGGGGAGAGTTCGAGTGGAGGTGCAGAGAGAGTTCAAGTCAAGTGGAGCATCAGTACGAGGTTAAAGTTCAGTGAAGTATTGCGAGTTCAACGGATTACTATATAATATAATACATTTAAACATAATTTATAAACAGAGTTCAAGAAGGTCATCAGATGGAAGACACAGTAATTTTATAATCACTTAGAATGCGACATATGTATTTTGTAAGTTCATTTTATTAGTTGCTAGAAAAGATTGTTCGAATACGTTGTTGGCTTTATTGTATTATTTTCTAAGTCATTACAATGGAATCTTTATTTAAGTTACAAGACGATAATACATAGACGAGTAATTCATGGATATGTAGAAACTAGATTGGAAAATCTAGAGCAGCAATGGTCTAGATTTTATGATACAAATCAGAAAATAATTGAAAAAGCCGCTGTAACAGATTTGAAAAACAATTATTTTACATCCGAATTGTATGATAAGACCGAGGAGCTTTATTTAACGTACAAGTCTAAGTTAAAAGACAGTAATTTGCAGTTTAACATAAGCGAACTTTGTACACGAACATATTCTGCTTCAAGCGTTTAGGTTACATAAAATTAATGTTCCTTCGGCAATTCTGCGGCGGAATTCTGCGGCAACAACCATAAGTTATGCTTTTGTGTACCGTTTAGAAAAAATTATGTAGATGAACCAAGATCTTTTGCACAGTCAAATAAAATTAGTTTTTCTCACATAATTGAACTCACCGAAAGAATGTAACCAAAAATTGTATTGTGAACATAATTGAAAAAGAGTAACCTATGGAGTGTCTTGCTTGGTTCTTCTCCATAGGAATCTACACTTTAGAACGAGCAAATAGTTTCACTAGAGGACTGACCTACAGACTGACATTGGTTCTTATCATTTAATATTTAAATATTTTGTTTTGACG